CAACGAGAGAAAAGTGTATATTTTAAAGGCAACAGAGAAACCGCAAACCTTTTTCGGTTATAATGTGGATTTTTAAATATATATATATATATATATATATATATATATATATATATATATATATATATATATATATATATATATATATATATATATATATACTTTTTTTTCAATATTTTTGCTACAGATGTTTCCGGTTCAGGCGACCTTCATTTTATTACCCCTACAAAACTACATCTTGTTTCAAGGTTAAAATTTAACGTTTCATCAGGTAGGAAATCACATTTGAACGCTGAAATCTTACTCTTCGTTCGTTTTCATTTGTGTGTGTATATGTATATATATATATATATATATATATATATATATATATATATATATAAATTTTCGTAGTTTCTGTGTATTTATGTTTGAGCGAATTCTGTGTTTGAAACACTATCTCGTAAATGCTTCCTCGATCACTACAATCTTAAACCTTGTATTATGTTAAAAATTGTAATGAAACAAAGTCATTTTTTTATATAACACTAAGCAAGATTTATATCCCTAAAATCGATCGACCATTTTAATTTTGGAAGATATCACATTTAGGGGAAGTGATCTGTGTGAATTGTTCGTTATCAAAATATGGAATATTAATATTTTATTTCAATGAAAATTTCCTTTTACAAAATTCTAGTTTATAACTGAATAAAAATGAGTCATTTTAAACAGACGCTTCTGTTCTTTCCATTTGCTGTGATTATTTTGGTTAAAGTTCGTAGTGTCTTAATTTCAATTGAAAACTTGCAAATTTCCTGATATATTTTAGTGAGAATTTCTATTTACTGAATTCTAGTTAACTAGTTTGAACAGGTGAAAATTTCACGGTTTTCCTCTTTGAATTTTCTGATGAATCATAATTCTTCAGTTAATGATTAAGTAAGCTCATGGCGAATTGCAATAAAATATCTGTAGAAATTCAGCTATTGCATCGTTAAATATATGAGCTAAACAATTAAAAAAAAATATTGCAATAACAATCATAAATATGAATGCTGGTTGTTATTTTAAGACTTAAGGGTGTACAAATGAAAAGATTTGAAATTGATAATTTTTCCATTTCAATGAAGCAGACGTTAAACATTTCTAACTTCCCTTTCATTCTTTTTCTTTCTTTCTTTCTTTTCTTTCTTCTTTCTTTCTTTCTTTCTTTCTTTTTTCTTTCTTTCTCTGAAACCAATGAGTACCTTTTCCCTCTTTCCACGTGATCAAAACGGATTAATCCATTATTTCTGTGGTAAAAGCAGGATACGTTAAACATTTCTTTCTTTCCTTCTTTCCTTCTTTCTTTCTTTCTTTCTTTCTTTCTTTCTTTCTTTCTTTCTTTCTTTCTCAGCAACCAAATAGTACCGTTTTCCCTCTTTCTATGCCATTTAAACGGATGTCCATTATTCTAAGGTACTGGCAGGAGATGTTAAAGCGTTTTTCATTCATTCATTCATTCATTCATTCATTCATTCTTTCTTTCTTTCTTTCTTTCTTTCTTTCTTTCTTTCTTTCCAAGAAGTGGATTTTCCTCCCTTTCCACGCGATCAAAACGGAATAGTTCATTATTCATTAGGTATTGGCAGGGTGCAACGGTCGTCCTAACCACCGAAGGAAGAGACAAGCACAATTACAATAGGATGATTAAAAAAAAAGAGAAGAAAATGACTGTTTAAAATGGTCCCAGGAAGATATGGCTCAATGTGTAGATATTCCAAACGCTCATTCTATTCTTGGAATATCATCATCATCATCATCATCATCATCATCATCATCATCAGTCTCACGACTGCTTGTATCGTGCGTGGGTCGGGGGTGGGGGGACCTGCGGACAGAAGAAACTTACTTTAATTCTTCTCCCTCATGACACTTTTAGTGGGCTTCCAGGGAGATAGGCGGCACCCATCTCCTCTCTATCTCTTGACTGGCAGCCGACGACCACGAAATATTGTGTAGGTCGCCCTCGGTCTGTACATTTCTGAATTCAGCTTTGTTCTTCTCCTAGACCGGTTGCCACCCAGAGCTATAGAACCCAGTCTGTCCTGCTATTTATCCATAGCTGGGAGGGGAGAATAAGAGGAGTCACACCTATCTCAAGGTTATTAGCACGGAAGCAAATTTAATGAACTTGACTGGAATTCGTACTCTAATTCCCCGATCCATGACTCTATCCACAACTCCACTGTGCCTCCAACCTTGGAATTCTGGTTGCATTTCAATGATATATTCTAGTATATTCCCAAAAGATAAGGCTATCTCTCAAAGCTATAATTTATGTTCATTGATCTCGTCTATTAACTTGTATAGAGTGATTTTTATTGTTGTTATTGATGCTGTTGTTTAATTTGATTTGCCAAGTGTTTCCACTAGAGACCAAAGTGGGATAAAGGTGTTTTTTAGGAAGCTAAGGAAAGGTTTTTTTTTTTTGTTGTTAGGATCTATTTGAACTGTTACAACCACTAGATCTATTTGAAAAAAAATGAAAGAATAATCCATAAGTTATACTGAAAGCAAAAACTACTTGAACTCGATTCAAAATTGAAAAAGGGGCGGGCGTAAATAGAATATCCGAAACCGAAGAAAAGTATTTTCTAAAGAGTAAAAACCCTACCTATATTTCTCACCCACACAAGACAGACATGCTTGCAGAAGTGTTGAGATCTCACGCTTATAGACACACTCATACTAATATATATACATAGACACATCATAGACACTTCCAAAGACTAAAAGATAACATACTCTTAACACACACATCCCATTCTTAAAGTCAGGAATCTTTCATCCTCTATCTTAAAAACAACTTGAAAGAGGCCGTTTGACCAACACAAGGACTAACCAAAATTACCGATAAAAAACAAATGAAAACTACAGTTCCCCTTTCTTCAGAAACAGTCATTCACTCCTGCAGCTCACTGCTACTAACAGAGTTTTTTTTTTTGCTGATGATGGTCATGATGGCTGAAACTAGTCAAGGAACCTAACCAAAATAATAAAACAAAGAATATTAATATACAACCCAGTGTCTCTGAAAATTTAACTTTTAAAATCTTTTTTTATTGTTCAAAATATTTTCAGTTGAACACAACAATTTTGTCTCAGAAAAATGATGAATACAACAATTTTTTGCCTTAGAAAAAAACAAAACCCTGATGATGATATTGTGCTAATGTCGAAAGTACTCGGAATAAAATAAATGTGCATCAACATGGTAATTTTCTTTCATCCTTTAATAAGGAAACTAAGAAACTTGTCCGTAATTATGAGAGGATTCTATTAAAAATAAGTAGATAAAACCTGCCTAAATTATTTAATAAGACATGTATTACTATATATGTGTAGAATAAAAAACATACATAAACGGATGGAAAGTTTTACGTAAGTATAAATACATATTTCTTACAATCTTTATATATATATATATATATATATATATATATATATATATATATATATATATTTTGGGTTGGATTGATATTAGCTCTATCTCTGATATTGAGCGCTTTCTAATATGTAGCGCGCATATAATATATAAATAATAATATATATAATATATTACACACACACACACACATATATATATATTTATATACACATTTTTTCACATATATATTATATATATATATATATATATATATATATATATATATATATATAAAAAAGCTAAAAGACAATAGGAAAATTGTATTATTAGCCGACGCGTTTCGTCCAATGTGGACATTTTCAAGGCAAAAACGAAATGAATTTATTAAAAACAAAGTAACTATTAACAACAAAACAAAATGTCCTTAACAACTAGAAGAATTTAGAAAACTCTATTGTATTCATATTGTCAACTGAAAATTACGTCAAGTAATTTCACGTATGGAAATATTGTTTTTATTGTTGTATTGACGGATTCCACCATTTTCTTTTGATTTCTTGATACATTTTCGTCTGGAATAAGTGATACCGTTAGCAATTTTTCATCTTTAAAATGAGCCAGGGAGTAGAAATGTGCCGTTTGTGGTGGGGGTAATGTAAATAATTTGTGTCAGTTCTTACTTTTACTGCAGGTGAGTACACAGCCACAGTTGTTCTAATATAACTTCTACGTGTTCCCCGCTAAAATATATTCGGTGAACATTTAAAATTACTTCAGCATTTTCTACAACTTACCGAATTTTTCTGTGTCTTAGACGCTTTTTTCACTCAAAAATTTGGTGTAACAATCTGTTTGTGTTCAAAGATAGATAAAACTCTTCGGAAGATGTGAGTTGTATTTGCGAGAACATTTTTTTTGTATTTCTTTAAAGGCATCGGCTATTAGAACATTTTTCAATCAGATTTAGGGCTGCAACCACAATTGAAATTATTGATGACTTCATGTGCAATATTTTTGAGATATCCACTACAAAATCCTTGTATTTTAATAGTATCTTCAAAGATCTATGACAGTCCGCAGGAACTGACATGTAAATAAGAAAACACATTCTTTGATCACAATGTCTGGGAGATTTGCTTTGATGGTGCTTTTTGTTATGTATTTGCAACGTCTCATAAATATGTTACATGTCCTGTTTTTGTAATCGGGTCTGGGTGGGGTGTCATTACCAGTTTAATGCAGTTGCCTTCCCGTAAAAGTTACAGATTTTCCTGCGCACATATTGGTTCACTCTGCCATGGCGAGTTTTATACGATCCATCGTTTAAGATGCAGGTAAAATGGCCGGCTCCCTGTACCGCTCCATGGCTCCACCTGTTATCCTCTAACTTTATAAGAGTCATATTGAGCCCAAAATAGAGTACTACTGTCATATATGGACAGGAGCTATACAGTCTTCACTTTCCAGTCTTGATGACCTCTTTTTGACTGGAGTCCAAAATCATCTCCGCGTCCTTGTGGGTGATGAATTATTTTCCACGCCCCACTCTCTCTGTCACAAGCGGAATGTGGCGAGTCTTACGCTGCTTTGTCGCTACTACCATGGAAAGTTCTCGGATGAACTACATACTTTGGTTTCATCAGGCAAGGAGCCGTTATGCCACTTACATTGTGGCAAACCACACACATCCCCTCCGTGTTCCATCGGTGAGAAATAAGTTCCATTCGAACAGCTTCATCCCGCGAATCACTGCTCTGTGGAACAGACTCCCAAGAGAAGGTTTCCCCGATCTGTTCAAGTCCATAGTTAAGAGTTATCTTCCCCTCCTATTTGTATAAACTTCCCATTAAATTAACCCTCTACCTGGGGTGGCCTCTATTCCGATCCTTGTAAAGGGTGAATATTATTGTAAAAAAAAAAAAGGAAGGAAAAGACAAAATATATTAAGAGTCCATACCAGTTTATTTCAGTTTCCTTCCCGTAAAAGTTACAGGTTTTCCTGCGCAGATATTGGTTCACTCTGCCATAGCGAGTTTTATACGATCCATCGCTAAAGATGCAGGTAAGATGACCGGCTCCCTGTAGCGCTCCATGGCTCCACCTTCTATTCTCTAACTTTACAAGAGCCAGATCAGGGCGAGAGTGGAGTACTGTTGTCATATTTGGGTGGTAGCTGGCCGGTCCTCACTTTCCAGTCTCGGTAAACTTCAAAGACATTTCTGAGTCCTTGTGAGTAACGAGTTATTTTCCACCCTCCAACTTCTCTCTCTCACACGCAGGATGTGGCGAGCCTCTCACCGATCGTTGCTTCCGTGGAAAGTGCTCGGACAAAGTAGATTCCTTGGTTCCACAAGTTCTAATCTTCACAGCAAGGACCCGCCATGCCACTTACCCTATAGCAAACCACTCACATTCTCCCTGTGTTCGGTGAGAAATAAATGTCAGTCGACAAGCTTTTTCCCGTGAACCACCGCCCTGTGGAACAGACTCCCAAGAAGATGTTTCCCTGATCACTACAATCTTAACCTAAGTTGAGAGTTAACGATTATCCTCCTCTCATCCGTGTAAAGTACCTTTTAATCAAACCCTTTACCTCGGGTACCCCTGAGCCTGACGCAAAGCGAAACTTACTGTACACTTAAAAACAACCCCCCCCAAAAACATCGGTGTGCGAGAGAGAATTTTCTGGAATGTGACAGAGTTGGCCGTCTCTCACTTAAGCCGCTTTTAGTGTACCTTGTGAGAAGTACAGATCATTGCTTTAAATTAGTTACCTACTATGATACCAATTAAATCTAGTAATAAAATTACTACAATTTAAAAAAATTAAAAAAAGATGATTTTAAAATTTGCGGAGAAATCGAGCTCTTGAAACGTAACTTAAATGTAAAATTTTAGAGGAGTTTCTGGTTTACAGCAATGGATTTATTCCGAAAACTTGGTTGAAAAGCACTCCAGGTTCTCGTTCCATTTGTAATAACTTGTATAGATTTTGATTCAGTGCCCTTTTGTCAATCGAGCTTGCTTTCGTTTGGTTTGTGTGGTGGATCGGCATATCAACACCTACGTGAGTTATTTAATGCTCTAATTATTTAGGATTAGAAATCCAGGGTTGGAATATGATTCAGGAGTTGGCTGGATTGCTTGTAGAGTAGTTTTAAGTTGTTTACTTGACAGAAGAGGGAAAGAAAACTCTGATTTTAAATCACCACTTCCCGGCGCTCATATCCAATTAAACACGAAAAAGGCTATGGAAGTATATCTAAACAGAAAACTGGAGCCCCGAAAGCTGTTTGCTGTCACTATCAACTTTCCGGCATTGGTGATATAAAAAAAAGTACGTCTTATGTAACATAGTATTTTATTATCCTATATCAATGCACCATATCTATATTTTAACAAATTTCTTACGTCTAAACCTCATTGAAGCCTTTATTAATATTTATTTTAAAATTTCATTAACTGTGAAAACCTTTCAAATTAGCGACAGCGTTTTTAAGTTGAAGGCTTGCTGTTGTCATTAATTTTTTTTTCAGTTGTTTTGATAATGCTTCTTGAGAGCGAAGCATCAACTAAGTAAATAAGGTTTGGTTTATCGACATATCAACACCTATGTGAGTTATTTAATTCCTGGATTATTTAGGATTGGAAGTCCAGGTTTGGAATATAATTTAGAAGAAAAGAAGAAAGACTTTAGGGGTTAAGTCACAGTTTGGGTAAAAAGATTTACGGGAAGTGTAGGAAAATAATATTGTTAAGATTTTCAGATTATATTTTCGTGTAAAATCTAATTTCTTTCAGGAATTGAATTATATTGGATGTATTGACTTTGCTGAAGAGTTGTTTATTTGTTAATATTGTTCTTCGAGCTGGGTTTAGACCTCCATAATTCCTTAGAATTCCTGTACTGATTGGGGTTTTCTTCCCAAAGTTTTATTTGAAGTTGTATGAATATTACTGATTAATTAACCCTTACTGTAAAAGGAAAGAAAAAACAAGAATGCTGTAGGACTTTTATTTAATCCGACAACTTTAATGTTATACGAGCGAAATGAGTGACAGGTCTGTTTTTCCAGTTTAATATTGAAAAACAACCGTGTTCTTCCACCGCGACATCATTTTTTTTTGTTGCGTTTACAATGACATTTCATTACAATTAAATTAAATTCCATCTTCAAATTAAAGCAAGCAAAAGAAAAAAAAAATGTTTTATTCAGCTTAAAAAAAAAAAAAGAATTAAACAACAGTGTAAATTTATCCCAAATCGAAAATCGAGAAATATATAAATTAGCGTGACATTTGCAAAAGACAGGAGAAACAAACTCGCCTAACCAAGCCGCCATTAAATTGGAACTCAGGATGCGAAATTACGCGCCAAAATTCGAGGATGATCCTCACTAGTTACATTAAGCAAAGGCAACGCAGCATCACCTTACTAACGATGCTTATAATACGTTCACTTTGTTTTGTTTCGTTTTTGTGTGTGTGTGTGTGTGTGTGTGTGTGTGTGTGTGCACATTCGTACATGAAAGATCCGTCCGCCTGTCTCTTATTTGCGAGAGAGCTGGTCGCACAGAAATTGTCGTGTAACGGTCTCCAAAGTAGAAGCCTCGTTTTCACTCGAAAAGTCTTTCTCTTCCCGCCTTTCTCTCTTTTGCCGTTTTTTTTCCTTTCTTTGCTCACTCTACAAACACCTTTAATTTATTTACTTGTGGTAACACCCTTCACCCTCCCCTTGCTATCTAAAATAAAGGAAAGAGAGTGAATCCTTGATTATAAGACATATAAAACAATAAGCTTACCACCCCACAAAAAGTATAAGCACAAAAATTAATAATAATAATAATAATAATAATAATAATAATAATGAAAACAAACAATATGAAATGATGGCGTTTGGAAGATACAAGCGTGCATCACGGAATAATTTTCTTGTGCGCAAGCTCAAAATAAAAATACGCGCGCGTGCGTCCTCTCACATATACACACAACAGCAAGAAATTTGGGGGAATACTTAAAAAAAAAATCTTTCAGATACAAAAAAAGAAAAAAAAAAAGAAAGAAAAAAGAAAGACTCCTTTTCCAGCACAAAAATTCTAAACAAACAAATCTCATTTCGGCATGCAGAAGGCTTCATTGCATAATGCATCGAGCATTGTCAAGTTGGTGCACGGATTTCTTACGCGCTTGCATCTGGTGCGCAGCGCCATCTATGCGTGCAGATTACACCAGGCAATAATATAAACACACATCGGCATGCACGCACGATCGTGTGCCGAAGCACATTAGCAGAAATCGCAAAAGGGAAGCGCCAACAGAAGATAAGACAGACGAGGCGGTTTCGAATCCTAGATTCGGATAACTGATGGTATCATTCCATCCTAACCGGGGGAAAGGCAACCAAGCATGTCTCGGAATGGAATATCGTAGGTATATATCAGTCAAGTATTAGCTGTTGTCAACTTCTATTCTTACAATAAATTCTTATTATGCAAATAGATGCTGGAATAGACCGGATAATTCTTGGTCATCATTGGGCAAGACGAACCAGCATTCCTGACGCATGCGTGATGGGTATCATCATCATCATTATCATCAACCTTATCTATCTATCTATCTATCTATCTATCTACCTATCTATCTATCTATCTAACTCAGTCTGTTCATTATCTCCTTTTGTCCATAATCTATCTATCTATCTATCTATCTATCTATCTATCTATCTATCTATCTATCTATCTATCTCAGTCTGTTCATTATCTCCTTTTGTCCATAATCTATCTATCTATCTATCTATCTATCTATCTATCTATCTATCTATCTATCTCCTTTTGTCCATATCTATCTATCTATCTCCTTTTGTCCATATCTATCTATCTATCTATCTATCTATCTATCTATCTATCTATCTATCTATCTCCTTTTGTCCATATCTATCTATCTATCTATCTATCTATCTATCTATCTATCTATCTATCTATCTATCTGCCTTTGTATTAGACATAAACTGGAAAGAAAGTCATGTCGCATTTTTTCCGAGGCAAGTAATCATTTCATGATGGATTTAATAATTAAAAAGATTACAGGACAATACCTTCTCATGGTGCCTTGACGGGCGTGGGGTGTGGGGGGGTACTGTAAGGCCAGAAGAAACAAACTTCTCCAGGATGTTCTGAATATTACGTACTTATCCTTATAAACTTATTTTCTTTTGGTCTTTCTTTTCCTTTTTTTTTTTTTTTTTTTTTTTTTTTGGCAGGAGAACAGTACTTTTCCTCTTTACCAACGCAGGACACTTGCAACATAATGTTCCGTTTAAATGATCAGGTTTCTGGTAATAATTATTTACCAGCTACCCTACGCAGCAAGATGTGGCACAAAGCCGAGTTTAAAGAGGGCTATCCGAGCCCGTAGGCTCGAGCAAAAATTCCCTATAGACCACGTAAAAACGGAGTCAGTTTCCCGAGACGAGACTCTATCCCTTCGGCAGAGCCTCGTCTGGGAGATACCCTCTGACATAAGCCAAAGGTTTCTGGTAATAAGCGACTACAGTGATCATCGTCGCATTTTCCCATGTAGCTCATAATGCACGATGGCTTACCTATTTCAGTAGAGAGAAATTAATATCTTCTTCTGATGGATTTCGATTTTGGCTGATTGTTGTCGGTTTCTAATTTTCATTATAAACGACGGTTTTTTTCTTTTTGCCGTGTCAACGCAAAACTCATTATTCATCATCTATTACTAAAAAAATAAATAAGTCATAAGTCTTATATGATTTCCGAATGTGGACAGACAGATATAGATTTGAAAATATTAGTAAATACTGAGAGATTCGAAAAAACTGGCGGATAAATAGAGATAAGAACAGTCAATCTGAATAATATATATATATATATATAAGGATAGAGAGGCAGATAGACATATGGATACTGAACATGCTGAAGTTGATATCATAAGATATAGAGAAAGAAACTGAGATAAATAGATAGATGAATAAACTGCGATAGATACGTATATATATATATATTATTTAATCAAACATGCTTGAATGAAAATATTCTACCAATATATATATATATATATATATATATATATTATTTAATCAAACATGCTTGAATGAAAATATTCTACCAATATATATATATATATATATATATATATATATATATATATTATATATATTATTTAATCAAACATGCATAAAAGAAAATATTCTACCAATATATATATATATATATATATATATATATATATATATATATATATATATATATAATATTTTTATATATTGGTTAAATTTTCAATTTTAGTCAATTTATTTCAGTTTTTAAATATTTTTTCTTTACCTCTATGCAAGGGAGGTGATGTGATAATTATTAAAATACTTTTTTAAGAATATTTTAAAGATTTTTTAATTGTAGTATTTTAATTTAATATTTTTTTTATATAACACTTTATTGCCAGAAGCATTTAATAACTTTGTTACTATATTCCTAGTTGACTATTTATTTTTTGGCTGCAATTCGCTTATATGAGAGAATTTTAAGTTTTTGCTTATTATTATCATGATGAAACACTGATGTATTTTCGACTTATATTTGTCTAAACTGAGAATACGGACACGAGTCTTCTTCTAAATTTTCTGGTCTTTCAAGTAAAAACGTAAGCCTATATTTTGGATTTACGGTGTTAACGCATAACACACCATAGATATGAAACTCCTGAAAATGGTCTCAGTTGAGATTGAAAGTACTTGGAAAAATAAAATTTATTTGAAAGAAAATTTTGGAATTTTTCTTAATCAATTTTCCACGGACACCAAGAAATTAATTTCGTGGACTTGAAAGGATTAAAACTAAAATAAATAGACATATGTCTAAATTATTTAAGCAAATATGTATATATATATGTGTGTGTGTGTGTGTGAAAGTTCATAGATTATATATGATCTTTCCCGAGTGTCTATTTTATTCATATATATATATATATATATATATATATATATATATATATATATACTATATATATATAGCTTTTTGAATTTGTAGGTGTGATGAATTGGATCGTGATTACGATTCCAATGTAATAAATTATAACCATGGAATATTAGTGTTTGAGCCTTTTATATTATATAAATATATATATATATATATATATATATATATATATATATATATATAGAGAGAGAGAGAGAGAGAGAGAGATTTGAAGAAGCTGAGATAAATAAATGGATAGATAGACAAGATATATAGATAGATAGGAAAAGATTGTGATAGATAAATAGATCTAATTTGACATATATAGACATATATAGATAGATAGGAACTGAGATGCTAGCTAGCTAGATAGATAGATAGATAGAAACTCAGATTGATAGAGACATAGAAACTAAGATATATAGATAGACATGAAGAGACTAAGAAAGATACCTATGGAGGAGATGAAAGGATAGATATGAACAGATGGGTAAAAAAAACCTTCTGAAAACGAGAGAGAGAGAGAGAGGGACAGAGAGAGATAGAAAGAGAGAGAGAGAGAGTTATATGTGAACAGACGGAGAATGATATTAAGATTGATAGATAAATAGATAGCTGTAAAGAAACTGAGATAGATAGATAGATAGATAGATAGATAGATAGATAATCATAAGAAATATAGATAGATAACGAATAGAATCATAGATAGATAAATAGATAGATTGAATAGAGTTAAATATTCTTAAACGAATGAATCATACATCTAAAGTGATTGCGAGTTAGTAAGCTAGATAAGAACAGGTTGCGACAGATAGATAGATAGATAGATAGATAGATAGATAGATAGATAGATAGATATGGACAAACTGAGATAGATAGATAGATAGATAGATAGATAGATAGATAGATATGAATAGTATGAGACAGATAGATAAATATGAACAGCATGAAATAGATAAATATGAACAGTAGGAAATCGATAGATAGATAGATAGATAGATAGATAGATAGATAGATAGATAGATAGATATGAACAGCATGAGATAGATAGATAGATAGATAGATAGATAGATAGATAGATAGATATGAACAGCATGAGATAAATAGATAGATAGATATGTGGGTAGATGATAGATCGAATTCCACCCCCGAACAGGAGGGAGGTGGCAGGATTGAAATTAATTCGATTTGTCACATCATAAATCCGATCTTTTCCGTCCGTCGACATTTACTCACGATTTGCCGAATTATACGCGCGTAGATTCAGGTACACACTACCTTCGCTGGTACTCAAGCTAAGACAATTACATCACACACACACACGCGCACGCACACACACACACACACACATATATATATATCCTATTTAAATGTATCCGATCTATATGGGCATTTAAGTAAAGAACGCACGCTGAGCAAACAAATCATCTCACATAATATGACTTCATATATCTATCTGGGTTTGCAGCAGGAGCCCCCTAATTAGATATACCGTACTTATGGTACACACACACACACACACACACACACAACTTACTAGACATTTTCCCGTCCGTTGTAGTTTGCGGCCACATCACGTTGAAACATCAGTTCCTCTAAAGATCACCGAAGTGAAGCAACGTTGAGCATGGTCAGTACCTAGTTGGTGACCGCTTGAGAATACCGGGTGTGCGGTTGGTGTAATAGATAATGGCTCTGAATTGTTAATCGGAGAGCTGAGTTTCAATTCCCGTTGATATCGTTATATTCGCAATTATCGTTGGGAAAGGTATTAATCCACATCTTCCCCCAGCTATGGGTTAATTAGTAAGACTAGCAGGTTTCATCAATTGACTGCTTTTTTCTCATTTTTGGTTATCTTTATACAAAGTTCGATGCGATTAATTTATGTGCTATTTGGGATTATTATTATTGGTGTCAGTTTGACTTTTTGCCTGTGTGTATGTGTATGCGCGCGCATGTGTGTGTGAATGTGTGTATTTTTCTGCGTGCGTTTGCGTACGCGTGTGTTTGTATGTTTGTGCCTATATGACAAATGCCGTTATACTGGTAACTTCAGAATTTGGACGAGAGTAATCCAGTCTACATGTGTATCTATTTCAAAGCAACACAAAATTCATTCGTCTTTGTCATCGGTTGGGCCCAAAATGCCGACACAAACATTGAAAATAAAATAATACTAACTTTGTTGAGGGTTGTAGCTTGAGTGAAAGTGTATCAGAAGGTAATTTATGTAAAGGCAAATATTATGCATGCTTATTATGCATTATCCCACAACACGTAGATCAAATAAAGAATATAAAGACAATTTGTATTGCAAGAAATCACTAAAAACACAGTGGTTAGAGATCCAACAATAAAGAGATTTTTATATATACAATAAATATACATGCAAGGATAACAGAATGTTTGTTGATTTTGGCAATTGAGACAATGTTATGAAGAATGTTCATGCAGAAATTTGGTCAATAATACTTAATGGTTTTGATTTGTTAGTGAAATTAAAATAATTTGGTTTCTACAAGGAAAATTCTCAAATATGTTCGTTCAAATATTAGTTTGTATGCGTGTGTTACTTGTTAGTTAGAATTTAAGTTGTGAAGATCTGTTTGCCTTTAATCTTTTGGCTAAATTGATGAATTGTACAATTACTGTTTGTGTAGTGAAAATGTTCACTTTTTAAGTCAACTGTAATTTGATTACCACGCGGACAATTGGTCGATTGAGTGCTGTGTTGAGTTTATTAAGAATTTTGAAGTGATGTTGAGTCAGTGAATTGACATGCGTGGAGTTTGGTAGCATCTCACGAAACTTGATGACTGACTGACTTGAATTGAGTCATGCGGCTGTTTATATAGAATTTGGTGTCCAAAAATCGGCTCCAGGGAGTTTCGGCGGGAAAAAGGATATGTTTCGACTTTGCTACTGTTTAGTTTTTCTTAACCTTTAGAAGATGGAATTTACTGAAACGAAGTGGTGATTAAGGCTTTTATTTTAGGCAAGTATACATCTTTCCGAAAGGGGTGGAAGGCTAATGTGGGAGATTCCACAACTTGTTTTCAATGACTATTTTTATGATTTTGTTTTAACTTCATCCACTAAAATGTTGACTTGAATAAATTTTACTGAAAGTGTTCGTAAGAATTGAACACGAAGTACCAAAAATGAACGTGGCTAGCATGTGAGGAACATGGTTACATGTTCCCAAAGTTTCCAGCCCGATAATTCCGCAAGGAAACACTTCTAAGAGACATCGTTCAGACAAAGAGATTTCTAGACGAACTGTAAAAAAAAAAATAATAATATTGAAAAATACCAAACTATTTTAATTCTGTTTTTCAACGACTTCCGTTTTTATTTTGACTTCCTAGGTTTAAATCTTTAATTTTTCTGTTCTTTATAATATTAAATAAGGTAAAAAATAAATATCGAGACTGGAAAATCTGGTGGAGCGAAAAATGTTCTAATTGCGCGCGTGTTTGTGTATGTGGGGATGTGTGTATGTGTCTTTGATGGGTTCTATATTTGTATGTGTGCGTGGGTTGTGGCGATTCGGACAGACAAGGTAACAAGCTTTTTGTATTCACTTCATAGGTTTAAAGGTTTTTCTGTACATTATGTTAAAAAAGGTAAAAGAATGGAGTGAAAAAAAAACTACAGTGTGTAAAAGAAATTGTGTATGTGAATTTGGTCCTGCGTCTGTGTTTGTGTTTGTGTTTGTGTGTGTTTGTATAAGTTGTCACGATTTAGCCAGACGAAAAAAAGAAAAAGAAAGGAAAAACAGGAAATCAATGACTGCGCCCAAATGTTTGATATCTACGACGTTTACACAAAAGACGAGACAGAGAGAGAGAGAGAGAGAGAGAGAGAGACAGACAGACAGACAGACAGACAGACTGAGAGGGAGGGATAGAGAGATGGAGAGAGACAGAGAACGTGAGATATAAAGATAGCAGAACACTCATACATTGACATATACTCATACGCATACGCACACACACACACACACACACACACACACACACACATATAGAAGGCTATAAAATTTGATTTAGAATTGAACTATCGTTTGTTTATATGGAATAATTAGTTACACCTAACTTAGCCTTATTTTGCAGAAAGTTATATGACAAATTCGACTTGTCAAATGGTGTAGGTGACAGAGAGAGAGAGAGAGAGAGAGAGAGAGGGAGAGAGAGGGGGAGGATGAGAGATAGAGAGACAGAGAGAACGTGATAAAGATTGAAGGACAATCATATACTGATATATCTACATATATACAAAGGCATTGAAAGAAGGCTATAAAATTAGGCTCAGAATTAAACTAACAAGCGTTTATATGGAATAATTAATTACGCCGTAGTCTGATTTTGAAGAAAGTTATATGACAAACTTGAGTTAGTAAACGGCGAAGGTGAGAGAGAGAGAGAGAGAGAGAGAGAGAGAGAGACAGACAGACAGACAGAGAAAGAAAGAAAGAGAGAGAGAAAGAGAGAGAGAAAGAGAGAGAGATGGACATATATAAAAATCGACTTAGAATTGCGCTACTGTGCCTTTATATAGAATAATTAGTCATCTCTACCGTAACCCGATTTTGAACAAACCTGACTTGACAAATAGAACAATAATTGACCATAAAACTAAGGTTTATACAGGGTAAATTCATTTCCAGTGCATTTACTGTGGAAATAAACTGGAAACGAGATTCATCTAGAAATACATGATTTTATGGCAAATAGGCATTGTATATGTGTTTACTATAATCATAAGAAATAATTTTATTATAGATTTGAATTGGAAATGCTTTTATTATGGAAATGCATATGAAATGGTTTTACTATAGAAATGCATGAGAAACGGTTTTACGATAAATATAAATTGAAAATGATTTTATTATCGAAATTCTTCGTACATGATTGCATATACAATGTCCAAGGATGTTGTGCAAAAACAAAACTATAATTTACAACTGACCACATATGGACCCGGTATGTGAAAATATATTTCAGTGTACTTATCGTAGCCCACTCACATTATCGCTACTCCCTGAGCTGAGTAATTTCGTGAAATATCAAAAGAAATATTTCTAGTTGTAGAGGAAAAATTGTTGATTAAGTCCCAGATATTTCAAATTTAAAAAAAAATGTTTTCAGCACTCAGTCTGCATGCACTGCACTGATAAAAAAGTTAATATGAGGATTACTGACATAATAGAGCGATTATATGCGTAATTTAAATAGCGCGATATTGACTTTACTATAGAAATGATTTTTCAATAGCTTCTTATGACCGGAATGTTTTGAAGCTTAAACTGTTTGGGATTATAAGGGCTTAAGAAGGAATGCAGACATTTCGGACAGTAAAGAATCATGATGAGGATCCTGATAATGATCATCATTAGCATGGTCATCAATATGGTCAACAGCTTCGTTATCATCCGATCATCACTTCATCATCATCATCATCATCATCATCGTCATCGTCATCAGTCCCAATATCATTAGTATCATCATCAGTATGGTCATCAGCTTCGTCATCATCAGTTTAATCATCACATCATCAACATCGTCATTACCATCATTCTTTCCGTCATCATCATCATCATCATCATCATCATCATCATCATCATCAGTCCGATCATCACATTATCATCATCAACGTCATCATCATCATCATCAGTCACATCATCATCATCATCATCATCATTGCCATCATCATCATCATCATCATTGCCATCAGTCCGATCATCACATTATCATCATCAGGCCCATCATCTATCTATCTATCTATCTATCTATCTATCTATCTATTTCAGTCTGTTCGTATCTCTCTCAGTCTGTTTGTATCTATCTATCTATCTATCTATCTATCTATCTATCTATCTATCCCATTCGATTTCTATCTATCTATCTATCTATCTATCTATCTATCTATCTATCTATCTATCTATCTATCTATCCCATTCGAGTTCTATCTATCTATCTATCTATTTGCCATCCACTGAAAAGAAAGTCATGTCGCATCATCAGTTCGATCATCATCAGTCTGATCATCATCATCATCATCATATTCACCAGGCCCATCATCTATCTATCTATCTATCTATCTATCTATCTATCTATCTATCTTTGTATTAGCCGTCCACTGGAAAGAAAGTCATGTCGCATCATCATCCTCAGTCCGATCATCATCAGTCCCATCATCATCATCATCATCATCATCAGACCCATCATCTATCTATCTATCTATCATCTATCTATCTATCATCATCATCTATCTTTATCATCATTTCGATCCACTGGAATCATAATCATGTCGCATCATCATCATCATCATCATCATCATCATCATCAGTCCCATCATCATCATCATTATCAGGCCCATCATCCCATCATCACTATCTTCGTCATTATCATCATCATGAGCCCCATCATCATCATCTTTATCATCAGTTCGATTATCATCATCAGTCCAATCATTATCATCAGTCCAATCGTCATCATCATCATCATCATCAATTATCATTTCATCATCATAAAAACAAAACAAAACAAAACAATCCGCTATATATCTAACCATGACGCCCCACCCTCACAATATCCCCGCTCAAGAACAGATACGTGCAGTGCATCAACCTGTAGGGGACATGTTTAGCTGGTTAAGGACAGACAAGTGATCAGCAAACCTGCGCTTCTGAAAGTTACAGAAAAAAAAGCACACACACACACACACACACACACACACACACACACACACACGCACACACACACGCACACCGACATGTGCATGTTAATCCTTCCAATCAGTTAATGTCAGAAGCCATGAGCACCATGTCTGCTCATACGCCACAATCTTTGTTTCTTCATCGTTATCAGAGCGATTTAAGGAAAGATAAAGAAAAGACATGGTGTTTAACAATATTTCGACAATATGTCTACCTTCTTCAAGTTATGTTTACACATTGCATATTCTTCTTCTATGCGCCATATTAGGACGTTGGCGGTCATGGCTCTCCATAATTTCCTATCCTTTGTAGTTCTTATTAAATAACATCTTTCTGTTATTGCCCCTAAACCTTGTCTCGCCAGCCATTTACACAAGTTCAACGTTATTCTTCTATGTGCAGTGTCCCTTCAGAATGTTGGCGATCATGGCTCTCCACAGTTTCATGGCCTTTGTATCGCTCAGTAAATTTTCTCTTTTTTTTTTTTTCTCCTAACCTTTGTTCCATTCATTCAAGCTCACTAAGTAGGTGATGTCTTGTTTTTCCTCTGTCCGGTAAGTATCCAATTTTTCATTTTTTTCAATACCTTTTTCCTCAATTTCTACTGTCTGTAAAAAATGCAATCCTTTCAACTGCCTCTAAAATGAAATCCTTTGTATCAAAGTCGCTTGTCTACATTTATTATATATAAAATACAATTGTGGCACAAGGCCGATAATAGCGGGGATGGTCTGAGGCTGGTCATCACTTACTCTCTTATACCTGGGCTAATCAGATTCACAACCCATTCACTCATTACAATTTGCACATTCACTAAAAGAACTTATCTATCATCATTCAATCCACTAATTACCACAATACCGCATAATCTCAGGGAACTTACAAAAACACTCCACGGCATAAAAAATATTTCGACAGAATGTCTGTCTTCTTCAAATTATATTTAAACAATTTTTATTATTATTATTATTAAACAAAATGATTGACGTAACTCTTTCAATATTTTTCAACAGTTCAGAGAATGGCGCGATTTATGAAATAAAAAAGAAAAGAAAAAGCACACAATATTTCAACAGAATGTCTAGATTTATTGTATATAAAATACAAATGTGGCACAAGGCCGAAAATGGGGGGGTGATGGTCTGAGGCTGGTCATCACTTACTATCTTATACCTAGCTAATCAGATTCACAACCGATTCACTCATTACAATTTGCACATCCACCAAAAGAATTTATCCATCATCATTCAATCCTCTATATACCACAATACCGCATACTCTCAAGGGACTTACAAAACATCCCTTAACATAAAAATTAATGACTATAAAATTGTATATATCAAGAAAAGCGAAATTTATAAAAAAAAAATTCTTTGTATATCGAATTTTATAAACGTCTCTTTTCTTGGGAAAAAAAAAACGGTTGTACTGGTAATCAACGCGACAAAGTGAATGAAACGCATCCAGCGTGAATGGAATTCAACTTAAACGTGTATAACATGATAGGGAGTTGTACTCATGCTGAAACCGTCCGTCAGTTGATTCATTAGTTATATTAATTAAACAAATGATTTAGAATAATTCTTATGGATCTTTCCTAGTATTTTGTTCATTCCCCCGGGGTTGGACGTTAGTAATTTGCATATGTAATTATCTTCATGCGTTTTAAGCAATTAAATGTAGATGGATTCTGGATATTTTTTTCAGATGTATACATTAAGATGTCATACGAAATTATAGATGTTTTTGATAAAAAGTCGCACAACTTCTGTTAGTAGCATATTGTGTCTGACAGCATACTTCTGGCCATTGCATCTTTTACACTTATACATTTCTCTTTTACCCATAGAACTGTGCCACCCCGAGCCACGACTAATATCCCCAAGCCGCTCCATCCAGAGCATTAGAAGCCGGTTCAAGGAAGGATATACAGAGAGAAATAATTAGGAGGATTTGAGATAATTATAATTAATTAATTCCTCGAGTCTAGAAGAAACCTCAACAGAATGTAGAAAGCACCGGACGGCCGTTCTCGGTAGTGGGTACACACTGCTGATGAGTCCCAAATATAGGACAAAATGGCCGTCCGGTGCTTTCTACATTCTGTTGAGGTTTCTTCTAGAACTCGATGTATGATATATATATATATATATATATATATATATATATATATATATATATATATATATCTTTTAATATATATTGCTTTTAATAATAATAATAATAATAATAATAATAATAATATCATTTGATTTCTATTGTAAACATATTTCCTTCCGGGTGTCGACCAGAAACCTAAGTACAGAAATGGCTTCATATCACTTTCCACTGATCCTTTCAGTAATAGAAAAATATCATCATAAATTTTACATAGAAAATGTTCTTGGTAACCTGTGACCTGTACTTACACTTTTTTGTATTTCTTTAAGGCATGGGCTACCAGGAATCGTTTTAATGAGTGTATCAGAACCTTTTGCAATCAAATCGAGGCTACAACTGGTACTATTGATGATCTCATGAGATATATTTTTGAGATTTTCACTGCACGATCCTTGTATTTTGATTATTATTATTATTATTATTATTTTATTTCCTTTGATTTCTGGTGTGTACTCATTTCTTTCCGGGTCCCAAACAGAGACCTAAGGTCAGAAATGGCATCATGACATTTTCCACTGAGAAATTTTGAAAAAAAATCGCACATATATTACATAGATAAAGCCCTTCGTAAGGTGTGAGCTGTACTCGTGAGGACATATTTTTTTATGTCTTTAAGGTATGGCCTCCCATAGATTCCTTCCCCGAGTCTATTGGAATCTTTTCCATTCAATCCGAGGGCTCCAACTACGACTAGAAGTGTTAATTGTCCTCATGTACCACATTTTTGAGATTTTGATTTCAAGGTCCTTGTATTTTGATATTTTTTGAAAATCTGAAGAAAATTTGAAGATACACTGCAGTTTGCAGCACTGCCACATCAATAAGGAGGCACATTTTGTATTTGCGCTCTCTAAACAAGATTAGCTTTGATTATTATTATTATTATTATTATCATTATTATTATATTTTGATGTCTGTACATACATATGCGTCCCACTGTGTCTGCACCAGAGAGCTATGGTAATATAGGGTTTTTCATGACATCTCTTACACGGCACAATGTAAACACATCAGTACTGGCCGTCCTTAGTAAGACGTTAAACTACATACGCGTCCTGGGTAAGACGATAAACTACATCCGCGCCCTGGGTAAGACGTTAAACTACATCCGCGCCATGGGTAAGACGATAAACTACATCCACGTCCTGGGTAAGACGTTAAACTACATCCGCGTCCTGGGTAAGACGTTAAACTATATCCGCGTCCTGGGTAAGACACATTCAACAGCAAGGCCTCTGATCAGGAGGTTTTGAAGTGTATGGAACCACCTTTTAATTGCTGGTGTTCACAGGTTCATCTGACTCGGTGTGGTAGCACCTGTTTGGGTCCCAGCTATCGGCAAATAGTTAACACCCAAATTGGGGTCAAAATGTGTAAAATTGGTTTTATTACCAGCAATTGATTTTTTTAATAAAAATTATCAGCAATACATTAATGCCAGCAATACATATTGAAACAAAAAATATTACCAGCAATAAAAATCTTATTGGCATTAAATAACCCATTGAGGTTGATATACCATAAAATAAACCAAACCTAAAAAAACGTTTTTTGCATTGTTGAGGAAAGTGTATTTTAGCGCCACATTACATTATATAAATATATATAAAATTCCTATATAATACTCTTTAATTTTTGTATGTTATTTTTGACTACGTACAATATTTATGGATCAAGAGGATTAAAATCTGTACATAAATTAAAATTATTTACATCGACCACAATGTCCAAGTTCTTACAACATTTTACCTTTCTTGGTAGACCTATAATTAAAAGGTGGGATATTTAATAACAAAAACTATGGAATCATAAACAGAAAACAAATGAAATCAGTTAAACTATATATCCAAAACACATTTAAAAAACAAAAGAAATTACATTTAATTTTCTCAGCGTCCCCTCTCCTTCATGCGCATATGTTCTTTTATCAACGCAAACATCAATTTATTCCAGTGAAGATGTAAAAGACGCAACGCACCCCACGAAACATTTTCAAACTTTGTTATAGTTTTCTTTTCCCCTAATTTTTTTGCCTCTAGCGTTTTTCTCCTGATCTTGACCACAAGAAACGAGATATAATTTAAAATCGACACAACAAATTTTACAATGGCAATTTCCGTCATAATGTTGGGGTACTAATGATAAGGGCAATTATTTTTCTGAATTTCTTTAAGATAAGTTGTACCTAGTGTTTGGTTTGGTTTGGTTTGGTTTAAGGCATATCAACCTCAATAGGTTATTCAATG